AACAAAAATAAAATCAGAATGATTTCCTTGGAATGAGAGGCAGCAGAGGCTGGCTGGTTGAGCGTCCAACAAAGCGTCAGTAAGCAACCAGCCGTGATCACGTTCATTTGACTGCTTTAGACATGACCTGTCAGTGGCAGCTCCTGCCAGCCAGTTGAAGATTGAACCCCCACTCCAAAATTGTGATGGTGTTTTCAGCTATTTGGACTCTCGTTCTGACAGCACCCATTCACAGCAGAGGATCCATTGGGAAGCAAGGTACAGTGTCGATGCTAAATTTCCTCAAATATGTTCCAATGAGGAAACAAACTCGGCTACATCAGATGGCCTGAGAGGGAGTACATTTTAGGCAAATTTTTGAATGAGTTATTCCTTCAAAGTCTGCATGAAATGAAAAGTCACCCTATCTGTTTTCTAAATATATGTTGTAGATCGTATTGTGAAGAATTGCTCGGTTTTTTGTTTATTATAAAAAAATCTTGACCTCCTAATATTTAATCAAAATGTCATAACTATACCTTCCGGTGAGAATGACAGACTTCTCTCTGGTGATTATATTCAGGACTTGTCCAATCATTTAGTCCACTTAAACTCACCCCCTCCAACTGCATTCACCTTGCCTCCGCTTTTGAGCAAAACGGCAACATCTCAGAATCTGATTAACAATGATGCATTGGACCAAGTTGTCGCCCTACATTTGTTTCCGATAATCTGTTACACTCATCATAATACGGAAGAAAAGATCTGTCTGTACTTCTATTTTATAGCTACATTGAAGGGACTTGATCAGTTCAGGTTGACTCAAGATTTAAGGGTTTGGTCTTAGAAGTAGGCAAGTCAAGGCTTGTTAGTGAATCATGCAGTGCAATGCTGAACCTGCATGCTCACCACTGTCAACCTTATAAAGACTGTGTGTGAGCACATGGTTTTTGCTTGACCACAGATCTTAAGTTGTGTAGGTCATTTACAGACCCCTGGGGCCCGTTCTTCATATGTCGCTAACTCAGTTAGCTGGATTTGATTGTTGACGATTTGGCATGCTCTTGGATTATTTGGTTCTTCGAAGCTCATCCCGGAGTTGCTGTCATAGCAACAGGTCTGTAAGCTTAAACCTGATCGGGAGCAGGCTTATTTCATGTAAACAGGATTAGATTGCATCTTTTTAAGCAGAATTGATACTTAAAATTTGTCCGCTACCACCACTACTTTATTACAAGCATACCCTACTAATCCAGGGACAATAATTTAAAATAATAATAATTAAAAAATAATTTTAAGATAATATAACAATGTTGTGTAGTCTTTAATACTATAGACACAGCCAGTTTTACTCACTGAAATATTTATTCGTCATAAAATTATTACTTCATAATTGTATTCGTGTTTTGCACACATGCTATACAGATAATGTAGAGTTGTGCATTAATTTGAGTGATGACCGCTATTATGGGAGTGGCTTGATGGAGGGCAGGAGATGCAGATAACATGATCTTCACCCTTAAGAAACTTTAATTAATGCTGTCACGTAACAAATCT